AGACAGGTGAGAAAATAAATTGGCCATTTTCTGGGTCAAGCCATGTGGTCCTATCCAACAATAAACCATCTTTCCAAGCAGCCTCCATGTCTCCGGTGTCTTTTTCCCCACTTGGAGCCGAACCCAGAAGGACATTCCTTTCATCAACACGATGGCAGACACTGCAACTGTCATAAATACATGCCAGTTGCCAAGCATCTGAATTCTGATCACATGACCATGGGGAGCACTATGAAGCGGTATAGAAGTCTAAGTGCTATTGCTAGCGCCATTGCTATTTTCTCCCTAACAACCACCCTGTGAGGTGAGTTGGCTGAGAGAGAGAGTAACTGGCCCCAAATCATCCAACTAGCTTTGATACCTAAGGCAGGACTAAAAATTAAGATGTCTAATTGCCATAATCAATACTAAACTGACATATGTACCTACATTCATAGCACTATTAGAGCTTGGAAGAGATGAAGAAGCATCATTTTTTACAAGAAAAGGTTCATAATCAACATTTGAAAGAAATTAACAAAGATACCAAGGCTGCAATTCCATGCTTCCAAATCTACGTCCCAACTTTAGAGTAAAAGTGTATAGGATTACACTGCCAAGATTTAAACATCACAATGTCTGCAAACTGATACTGAAAATACTACAAATATTCACCAATCACCAAAAGCATATTATTCCTATAAATTTAAGACGGATTTAAACATAAGCAGAGACTAAGGTTGCTTTTTCATAACTCAAGATCACGGAGTATCTTTGTTCAGATTTAGCTTTCAAGACTGAAATGAGTCCCGGTGAAATCAAGAACATACATAAAAGGGAGAGAACATAAAACTAGGTTTTCCTCTCCCCCCCAGAGGAAATTCCAGTTTGCACTGAGAAGGGACTGAAGGAATGAAGGGCAAATCACATACTTGACATTCCAGGAATTGTAAGCATATGAGATAAGGGCAGTTACAACCTTTCAGTTTTGCAAGTCAAGGATTAGTCACAAAATCCGCATTCTTCTAAATAACAAGATATTTCTAATAATGAATACGCTAGAAAGATTAAGAAAATGTGCATGCTTTGGGGAAACATTTCCAGGCCCATTCGGACTACAACTGGATACACAATTAAATCTCACTGACTTTCCTGAGTTTTATGCACACCTGACAAAAGCTGCCTTCTATCTACCTGATTTGCACACTATCCAATCATAATATGATTTGATTTTGACTGTGTGCGTTTTGTAAATTCAGGCAGTTGTGCTTTATACAGTAAAATCACAATTTAGACATATTCACACGACATACTGCATTAAAGAAAATCTTATGGGTTGTGCATACTACCATATCCTACATCCAATCATGTTCTGTATTTTAAGTTTTAAGACTCACTTATCTGTTTATAAATCGTTATGGGTGAGTTAACCCAACACTAGTTGTAAGTCAAAACCAAGCAAATTACATTACAGCCACAGATAAGCGAGCAAACTCTTTGGATTAGGCCTGTTCCATATTCTTAAATTGATTGAAACCAGGGATCTTGTGTAAAGATGCCAATCTGAAGGATGCATGGGGCTAAGAAAAAAAAACATATAAAGTAAGGCTTGAAAATTGTGGTCTCCATACTGTGCAATCAGTTCTGTGTATATTTTACCTTTTCATAGCGGTTTAATGTAAATAAAAAAATAAGCTTACTATTTTAGCAGCTACAAGTTGGACTAACAATAAGATATAACGTAGAATTGGTGGCTAATTTCAAACCACATACATGCCATGTACTATTTTTCCCCAAATTAGTCAATATTATGCTGTCACTGAGAATATTTATAGTGTATGGCTTTCAGTATTTTCAGTTCCCTTTCTCAGCTGGATGCCTGGAGGCTGTGAGGATCTGGATGGGGAGGAACAGGCTCAAACTCAATTCCTCCAAGACTGAGTGGCTGTGGTTTCCGTCATCCCAATTTGTGCATCTTGTTCCATCTTTGATGATAGGGGGAGAGATTTTAGCCCACTCAGAGGGCCCACAATCTGCGCGTCCTCCTGGATATGCGGCTTAGTTTAGAAGAACACCTGATGGCCGTGACCAGGGGGGTCTTTTACCAGGTTCGCCTGGTACGTCAGTTGTGCCTCTTCC